CCAAACATCTCAAAACTGTTTAAGAATGGCGATAAATTCAATGTTTTCTAAATGTTTTTGCACATTTCAAAAAGAAGAAGCCGTTTTAAAGGTCTGGTAAACTATTGTGTGTGAGTGTTGAATTTGAGAAACAAGGTTAACACATTAGGAATAGCTTTACAGACAAAAAAAGTTATTTGCATGACTTTGGCTTTTTATTATAGAGAGCGATGTTTGTTTGTCAGTTGTTTTTTATGCTGGTATTATCTGACCCAGAGTATACTTGCAAGTTGCTCTGTGTCTAGATGTATTTACTTTGTGCCTAAAGAAGAGTGTGCTCCTAGGATAACAGGGAAATAACAAACCGTGAAGGAATCCCTTTCTGGTTGCAAGGATAAACATTGTTGTGTCTGCCTGGTCCAGTTGTGTGGTAAAAGGTGGATTTGCTCGCTTTGTTGTCCTTTTAAAATCATTGACATTTCAGACATTAAGCCTGTGAAACAGAGGTGGGACTGTGGCAAAGCACTGCCATGTCATCAATCATTATACAGATTGGGTGACAGCCATTATGGTAGGCTACAAAGGGGGCAGCTGGGTGGACAGCACAAGGGTGCTACGTGTGCTGACACATGGAAAAGAGATGGCCAATTAGAACATTCCGAAAATAATTTAAAGGAGTAAAGTTGCTCCTTTGGGCTTTATGACATGTGCATAACACATTGGCTACTATATTACAATCCTATTTTAGAAGTTATTAGTAGATCATGCTCCAGGTAGGAAACTGAGATGTAAAAACAGATGTTTCTAAATAACCAACACGTAATGATTGGAAGGACAAAGTGACCGCTCAAGTTCCTCTCCTTCCATGACCATATGTCCCTGGAGAACATGATCCATGCACCATAAGTAGGGATCTAAAACCTAACAACTACGTACGTACATTTGGTTAAAAAAAAAAAAGTCTGCAAATATTCTGGCACCAGAAGCAATTATTTCAATGCAATTCGCAATGTAGGAATTTAACCAGGATACAAACAATCCAGCAGCTATACAGCAAAGCACACACATCCTCCTATTCGGAATGTAGAAAGTCTGTTTTATGCACCAAAAGGTCAGAACATGTGTTTGTTAGTCGATGAAGGCTGTTCAGTTCTGATGCATTTCATCCAAACCACTGCCTCTATCTCTGATTTTCATCCAGTATCAAGCTGTGGAAGGAGGCAACGATGACAGGAAGGCCATCTGTGCCAAACTCTGTCATACTGTCCTTGTTGACATTTTCCACACGTGCATACCGAGATGTTTGCATGCACAAATGACCCAATACAGGCATGAGCAAAAAGGCATAAATCAACATTAAACTAAAGCAAACACACCACAATAAACGTGGTGTTTGTTTAGTGTTGCGCACACATACTGTTGATAGTTAAGTAGCTGACAGATTGGCAACATAATGTGTTTTGTGATGGACTCTGAGGTAAAGACACAGACTCAAATTGTATCTGAAATCTGGTGTAAATGTATCAGACAAATGCAAAAATTGATGGTCTTTGGATGCGTGTCAACCTGTCTGAAGTTTGGTAACTTACAATATATGATACTTGGAATAAACATTGTTCTTTGTGCTGAAAATGAACAGATGGCACATTGCACCATAATCAGACTGAAGAAATCACTGCAGGACTTGTCAGGTGTTGCCATGCTGGCAGACTAGGTAGACTTCCAACAGCCAATCAGAAGCAGGTAATTACCTCAACACCTGCTCACCAAACTGCAGCAACTCCAGTGGTCCCATCGGATGGCTGTATGCTCAAGTATGTGTCTGATTCATCCATGGCTCCACTACAATATGCACAAACAGCAGATGTGATCTATTCAAACATGACTTTTTCTATAGTAACGAGCATCATGTGCCGTGGTGCTACAGCAATGCCCCTTACAGTGAAGTCACATGTGGATTCAAAGCACAAGCTGGTAGAAATATGTAGATGTGTTCAATATTAAGCAATGCATTAATTTGCCCGAATGCATTACAGACATCAGACAGTGCTGGTATTGCTGCTTTTGCCTTTATATCTATAGAATATCAATCTTTATAGGGAAAAAATACATGATGCTTGCTACATCCACATTGTAGCAGAGTATGCATCAAATCCAACAGCAGCGGCTCTAGGGCTGATGCAATGTTATAAGAATGGATGTTTGAATGTGTGCAAACCCGTCAGCACAGCGCCGTAAATCAGAAGAAAGTAAAAAAACAACGTTTATTTTTATTTCTGAAGTTTAAATAGTAGTTTCATTTGGAATTTCTCCAATGCACCCACAATATGTTTTGAAATGATGTAAATCAGACTCTCCTATCTATAGCTTTTTTATGGACAAGTATAAACGTGAAAAAACTATTTTGAGTACTTTTCACAAGAACTAGGCCGATAGTTCTTGGGATTTTGGTTTCACACCAAAAAGGTCTGGAACTAGAACCTAGTTCATGCGAACCTTTTCACCCCCAGATAGACCCTGATACAGAGGTGGTACTTTCCTGGAGAGGAAAAGGTTCCAATTTCTGATTGGCAGGGCAAATTGCAAACCTCGCCCCGTGAAACTCTGAAAGGTTTTGTGAAGCCACCATTTTATTATCCTTGCATTAGCATTTTTAGCATTAGCCCAGCGCAGAAACGCGGAGAGACTATGGCAACACAAAATAAAACATGGGAGCCAGTCCCCAACTCCGGGGACTTCCGGCCGGGGACTTCGGGTGACCGTATACGCCGTGAAGTTGTTTCCGGCCTGCCAGTAAACCCAAAGCAGAAGAAGAAGAAGTGACATCAGCGGCTTCATTTGCGTAATCCTCCCTCAGGGACTTATTCCGGTGTGAACGCGATCTAGGACAGTTCCGGGACTAAAGAGTTCGGCGGGACTAAGTACTGGGAACTAAGTACGGCAAAGTACTTAGTTACATTACAAAAGATTAAGGGATATCATACAATTGATTTAAAAAAAAAAAAAACTTCACCATCAATGCAATTAGAACTTTCACTTGTTCTTCTGTAAACCCAATACAACTATTGTCTTATCTGTGAAGTAGTGTTTGGCTGTCTTTTTCAAACACAAACAGGCAGGTAGAGTGTAAGAGGATACTTTATTGTAACCTTATTTTTAAGATCAATAAGGTAAGACATGGTAGCAAAGCACCAGAAAACTTGATCTGTCTTTAGAAATGTGTATGCCCTGTGACTGTCCACTAGGCTCTGTGCAGGACAAACTCTTATTTTTCACCATAAATGAGCCAGACAGTCACTGTTGACAGCTGTGCCCAAATGATCTCTTGAGTTCCCGAACACCACATCTAATTGCCATTGAGTACCTAAGTGTGCATGTAGTTGAATGCACCACTTCACACACTCTCCTTGACAAGTTGGATTTGGGAAGAACACTCAAAATGATGAGGGCCGAAGGCAATTGGCTTCCCACGCTTCACTACACAGCTGTCTCGCAAAGCCTGAGCTTAACACTTTTTGACAGTACTTCCAAAACAAACAGAGGTTATTGCATAAATCCTTTTTCTCTATCTGTTTAGAAGTGTTAATCTGCTCTGGCCATCAGACGGCAAAAGATTCAGAGCAAGAACATGAGGGGACCCCCTTTTTCAAGCCCCCTTTAGTCTCAGGGCAAAATCAGGGATTCCTTCAAACACAGCTATTAATAGCTCTGCGTGGGCATGGCTGGACTTTGACTATTAACCAGGTCTTCTGCCCTATGAATCTTACCATTTCATTTCTACAGTGTCATCTTTGTACGTTAGCTAAGGAGGACATTTTTAGCCACAGGTTAATTCACCTTTACAACTTGATACAAATGTGTTTTACATAATACTTTATCCTATTTCTAGTAAATAGATATGAGAGTATCCTTTTAAACTGTGGAATTTAGCATAATTAATAAATACAACACTGTACAAATTGTCATATACATGTTATAAATTGTAGTACAATGTTCAAATGTCTACTTTAATTTTAACAATTTAATTATAATATTTTATTGGGCATGTTTCTTAAACTTCTTATGTTTCTATAAAAATCTTTAATTAATGTTATCTTATTGCAATTCCTACTAACTTCCCTATGTTTATATGTGTAATTAATTAATTAATATAATATATATATATATATATCTCAATACATTTCAGTCTTTTTATTTACAATTGTTATCATTTATTTAATCTGAAATGGAAAACGAAACCACATTTCTTGATGGGATAAATAAAGTAATCTAAGCACATTGAGCACATTGTAAAACCAAGTCCGTTAAAAAAGTGTGATGGCGTTACAACTCAATAACATTGGAAAACAATGCATTTCTGTCAGACCCTTTTTCTTATTTAATGTGTTCCTGATCAGTGATCCAGAGGGCTGTCTTTTTTTTCTCTATTTTAGAATAGGCAGAAGACCATTACAATGTTAAATTTCTCCGGAGACAGCGGCACTATGAGAGAACACGCAAACAGGTAATTTGTGGGCAGTATAGATGCATCTTCCCTCGCGTGGGCCGAGTCGAGCCAAACGAGACACGGGAATGAGATTGTCACAGGCAATTGAGTTTTCATTAACACTCTGTGAATCGGCTAATTTGTTTTTGAAATGGAAAACATTCTCTGCGAAATTTCCTCGTAGGAAATTGCAGGATTTCATGAGCAAAAATAAAAAAAGTGGTAGATGAGTTGTTTTAGCAATGCCTGAGAGTGGTGAGTGGCAGACGTACTGTATTTCAACAAACTGTTTATTTAATGAAATCCTAGCACCCTCTGCCTGACTGATTAAGGGTACAACTAACATATTTCCATTGTTGATGAATCTGCTTTTGTTTTTCTTAATTGTTCCCAATCCATAGTCTTTTATCTGTAAAATTTGAATAAGAGGTAAAACAAATGATAACTTGAAAAACACAATAATTTCCAAGAGACAAATGTAATACTTTTGAAATAAAAGTTTTATCTGACCAACATTCAATTTCCATTATTCAAAATGCCTGTGACCAACCAATTGAGGGTATCCATGAGCATGAGAGTTAGTGACAGCATTGGTGACACTGTGTTAAAAAGAGCAAGCTTGACCAAATGAGTGGGAATCCCACCCCATCAAACAAACAGTTCCTGCTACCTCTTTTTAATGATAGATTTGTCGCGAATTAATATTGAATCCCTGGGTAAAACTCAGCATGTATACAAAGAATTTCAACTTGGAGAGCCTGACACCAAAATGTGACATTTGCTGCAATTTTTTCAAGCTCATCAGTGTAGTCAGGGGTGAAAAGACAGCTTTGTGTTCATTTGGCTCTTAAAACCTGCAAATGGGGAACATGCCCAAAATGTTGCTTGGGTATCCACAACCAGTTCAAATGATTATATACCAATTCATTTGTATATATCCATTTAATCCACAATTAGTCTGCCATTTAATACAAGATTTCTTAATCCTAAAACTCTTAAAAACTGTCAGTAAATTGAGAATTTAACAGATCCGATAAAGAAAATAATATAGTTGTCCTAGTTAACAGGGGCATGCTGTTGAAACTGCTGAAAACATATGTATACATAATTTAAATTAAGATAATTCCTTCATAACTCACAAAGATGGACATGGACAAGAAATAACCAATTAGTTCTTCAATTTTGATGAATACAAATTAAACACACTATCATTGTTTGAGTCAAAAATGTGTTGGAAGGTAATGACTGAAACCTAGAAATAGTCTAATAATGTTTATGATCATACTGACCTTCAACATTTGTGTTGTGTTTTCACCGCATTGGCTTTGATTCATATGGGGAAAAGGAAAATTGTCTAAGTTAATAGAAACCTGTGTATTTTACATGGGATCTCCATCATCCTTCACCAGCAAGAATTAAAACAAAACCATATCATACACCGTACATGTAGGTCAACTCGTCTGGAATTGACAGCTAGGAGACTCCCCAGGCTCATCAACCAGGCATGAATAATCCATGTCCAGATTTCAATTAGCCTGCAAGCAAAACTCATCAGTGTGTGTGTGTGTGTGTGTGTGTGTGTGTGTGTGTGTGTGTGTGTGTGTGTGTGTGTGTGTGTGTGTGTGTGTGTGTGTGTGTGTGTTCCAGAAATAACCAACTTGAACACTGATGAGACAGAGACGGATGCTGGGCCTGGAGCTATTGCACATTTACAGTTGTCTATGTTAAGTAAAAACCCAAACCGGGTGAGAATTCCATCTGTTTCATCTTTCATCTCGCTTTCCGTTCTCTCTTATTTCTGAGACATCATAAGTGGCCTCGGTTTACCTTTGCTTAGTGCTACAGCATACAGCGTTCTGTGATCCAATTAGACTAAAAATAGCACTGCTGTTGGTTTGGAGGGTCTGGAAATTGCAAAGAATGCTCCGCTCTCCTTTTAGCACAGGAATCATGGTGAACCTATTTCTGTTGAGGTGCATGCACTACATGTAGATCATCTGTAATGTTTAATCATTCTGTCCTCCATGTTTTATTTTCAGGGGAAATCTTTCTCTTCAAATACCTGGAAAAAAACTATTTAAGCAAACAAGCGGTTCCGGATTTACTTTTCTAAGGCATAATATAGCAAACCGAATCAAAGAAGATTTATTTTAAAGCCTTACAATCAACATCACTGCTTCCAGCAAACAACAGCCAGTTTCCAAATAGCATACAAACATCCTCATTACCTATGCATTTTTTATATTTAATACTAGAATGCTCACACAACTAGAAAAAAATATGGGATATTTCCTTGGGAATCAATTATTTAGCCTTTGTTTTGATAGCAACCATAAAACTTAACATCCCTTTATGTCTGTGGTTGTGAACATGTTCTTATCACAGTCTAAGACAAGTAATGAGCTTGGCAATGAGAGAGCTGCGCCATGTTATTGTCCCAAGAAGCAGATTTATGAAGTACAACCATAAAGCATGACAGCCTGAACACATAGTCATAAATAGAGACTAATCTGGGGAAGCATGAACCTCCAGCCTCTTTCTCTGACTGCTGTGGAGGCTATAGAGAGGGAGCCATTGCTCAGGCAAATTAGATTACACAGTGTAATTGTGGAAGGGGCCACTTTAAAGACCATCTCATACTTGTGACGCGACTGTTCAATGAGCACTGTGTGTGTTTTGTTTGTGTGTGTCGTCACCACTGTCAGCAGTTCACATGGCTGACTTTTTTATGATCACATGTTGATGAAGTCGAGATCATACAAGAAACAGAACAAAATCAAGTATTTGTTTCGGGACAACCAAATCAAATACAACAAAGATTAATATCAAACTGTCTTGCACTAAAACAACTATTTCCTAATTTTTTTATGATACAGATTTTTATATAAAATCAGGTTTTGGCCCCTATGTGACCATCCAATGTATTCATTTGCTGGACCCAAGCAGTATTCCTCCCCAGGATAAGTACAGGATTCCTCTGGCTGTGGAATGCCGTTGGAGGTCCAGTGGCACGGTCAAAGGGTCATTAACTAAAGACTTGTGCAAACATGACAAACACCCAAAACCAGTTTGAAACCAGTTATTTTTCTCCCCTTCCTTCCATCATCACGTTTACTTTAGGAGGCACAATGCCAAGCTTTGGATTTGGATTTGTTGGTCATTTCCTCATGTCCAATGACTCTTTAAAATGACAGCAGTGATTCAGACGACCCCAGCCTCACCCTGGCATAAGTAGCTTCCAACCAATGTACTTGCAACTAATTATTATTAAAGTGAAGTCAAATTAGAGCTAAAAAAAAATGCTGTGGTTTAATCGATGAGTCTATCAACTGACGATAACTAGGCTATTCTATCAACTATTCTTCTTGTCCTTTTTTATTTTTCCGATCCCAAATGCTAAACACATGTGGTACCAGCTTTTAAAATGTTGGGATTTACTGCTTTTCTCCGTTTCATATGATCGTAAACGGAGTATCTGGAGGGTTTGGATTTTTGGTCAGAAAGCACAATGCATTTGAAGATGTCACGTTGCAGGCATTTGACTCAGAAGTGTATAGCTCATAGGATAGCCTAGGAATGCTTTGGGATTCTTAAGTTACAAAGATGTTGAAAAGGGCACATCTGAGCTTAAGGCTTCGCTGACTACACACTCCAGGGAGCCCACTACTCACAGGGAGGAGTACAGTGAGGTTGACTGACCTTTTTCACAGCACATGACTTAGACAACAAAGCAACAAAGCTTTGGGAAGAAACCTGCCATGCCAGAGAAATTGAAAAATACATAAGTCAGTGACATTCTTGACCTGTTTTTGGGTGTATATGATACACAAAGACCTCAAGATAGTCTCTGCAGCCATTATATCTGAAATGTACAGTAGAGAGTGACTATGCTGGTTTTAATAAGCGTTGAGATGTGTGGTTGCGTCATTGCCTATTCAGCTCACTGCAGGAAGTGGATGGACACCCCGCCGTAAACACTGTCCATCATAATCACATCACTTCCCACTGGAACACAAATTCACACCCGCCCTTCAACACGCTGTCCCAGCCAGCATTACACACCCTTTCACACAGACACATGGTGATGATGATGCAAACTCAGGGCTCAGACCAACAACTAAACCAGGCACCAAACTGGATCCATTTTAAATAAGTGTGTTCAAGAAAAAAGTGAAACTAGTAAACATTTACTTCCCCCAGCAAAATATTCAAAGGCTTTGTTGTTGTATAAGGACAATTATCTACATAGAAGTTGTTGGCAATGACCAATAAGGGAGCACACTATATATTATATAGGCATGCAAGAAAATTGTGTAAATGACACAATGTTGCATGTAAAAAGCAAGTAAACCAGGCATAATAGAGTAAGATACCNAGGTTTGAGGTGATACCGGTTCTGGTTTCTCGACAGGTTTCCGTGTGTCCTTTGTTTAACTATCTGGACGTGGTCCGACCCTTTATGACTTAGACGTTTCCATCGTCGAACCACACCTTCTTTCAGTTGACACTCGTTACATACATTGTTCTTCTCTTACTGCTTCTGTGACTATTAGAGGGAGCTAGACCCCACCGAGGTGCGTTCTAGCAGTGGGAAACCCCACGTTTACTCAGTGTCTTGCACTAGTAGTGGTACTCGTTACTAGGGTTTTGTACCTGTTACTGGTGTTTGTTTGGACGTGAGGTTGTGGACAGGTGTCTTTTATACTGATAACGAGTTCAAACAGTTGCCATTAATACAGTTAACGAGTGGAGGACAGAGGAGGCTCTTAAAGAAGAAGTTGCCAGAAATCTTGTTTGTTTGTAGGTGACCAAATACTTATTTTCCAACATAATTTGCAAATAAATTCTTTAAAAATCAGACAATGTGATTTTCTGGATTTTTTTGTTTCTCATTTTGTCTCTCATAGTTGAGGTATACCTAGGATGAAAATTACAGGCCTCTCTCATCTTTTTAAGTGGGAGAACTTGCACAATTGTTGGCTGACTAAATACTTTTTTGCCCCACTGTATGTGTTCCTATGCCAGATTTGTAACTGTAAATAAATGGATCTCAACAATAAAACCCGGTCATGAATGTTACAATTTCCATCAAGTGCTGAAGAAATTATAAATCAGAGCGAGGGGAGTGTGTATGAGTGTATTTGGATGTTGTTTACAGTGTTGACGTTGTGTGATTCAGGTGCAGGATGCAGTTCACGGTGTCACGATAGAGGAGTGCCAAGCCGCCCTCCAGAACCACAACTGGAATGTCCAGAAAGCTGTGCATTATCTCAAGGTGAGGGCATTCAATAGCAGAGTATGAACATTCTTAATGCACTATGCAGGTCACTAAAATCCTTCCTACATCTGCTGTTCATACTGGGCTTCTGTAGTTTTGATACTATAGCGAGCTTAACTGAAAACACTGATTTTTTTAAAACACTAAGCCAAAGCCTTTACAGCTTGCAAGGAAGCTAAGCTAACGGTATTTGAAGGTTCACTTATATCTGCTTTATTATCACTTTCTAAACTAATGTAATAGTAGCTAAAGCAGTTTAGCTGTTGAGCTAAAAGTACAAAAGTTAGCTAGCTAATGGTATTTCAAAGTTCACTTAGGCCTATATCTGCTGCAGTATCACTGTTTAAACTAATTAAACACTAGCTAAAGCAGTTTAGCTAAAAGTACAAAAGTTAGCTAGCTAATGGTATTTAAAGTTCACTTATATCCGCTGTAGTATCACTGTTTAAACTAATGTAACAGTAGCTAAAGCTGTTTTGCTGTCCAGCTAACGCTAATGAAGTTAGCTAGCTTAAATTATTTGAAAGTTCATATCTGTCTTGAAAACACTATCTCCGGATGCATTTCTTTACGAAGAACCAAAATAACTAGATCTTTGATTTTTAATCCCTGACATTTTGTAGATGTTTGTTATTTAATGTTAATGACAGCTTCTCTCTATTTTACCAAGTATTTGGAGATTCAAAGGATACATCTGATCATCTTTTACTGTTTTTTGTAAGTTTTCTTTGGTCCATAGTATTGAAGTACCTTATAATAATTAACATTCAAGGCATGAAATAAATGATTAGATGCAATGTCAGGAGCCATAAAACTAATATTAGTGTAACTTTGTTATATCAAAAGTACGCCGCTGCACAAGACAGGCAAACTGAGGTGGCAAAACAACACTTTATACAAAGAAAGTACCTCAGCATCTCATAGTTTGAGTCCATCAAAATGAAAGTGGATGCTTATTTTGCAGCAGTGCAATAACTGATAAAGTAGCTAAGTTCTAAGGGGTGACCATTGCTGTTCTGAGATCCACTGCATCTCAGAGTCCCTCTCTGTAGTCATTCAAAGTGTCTTAATGTCATTTTTGCTTTCTTGGTTCATCTAAAGTTAAGATTAGTGCAACTGTGTTGAACCTTAAGGGGAAATCATGTCATTGCTGCTGCAAAGAGCCGGCTATAAACACAACATAAAGAGTCACTGATGTGTCTACAGAAGCATTCAGCCTCCTCTCAGATGCGTTTGGGGCCACAGTGGCAGGATGGAAGATGTGTTTGGATGGCAGTGGGCAAAAGGGAACACTTGAGTGCTCCATAATAGTGGCAGCAAAGTAACAGAAGTGTGTGTTTGAACAGTAGGCTTAGCTAACATAAGATTCAAATAATGTCCAAATGTGCTTACTGGTGCTGTAATCCCACTGCGGGAGTGTTTCCTAAGACAGTACAGCTCTTTCACCCCACTGCTGGTTCTTCATACAATGGTGTTCATCTTGGTTTGTTCCCCGTGTCTCTCTAGGTGGAGCAGTTGTTCTGTTTGGGTCTGAGGAACAGGTCTGAGTGTCGTGAGCTGCTGGAGATGTGTGACTGGAACCTGGAGGTGGCCAGCACTCACATGTTAGATAACTATGGATCCACAACAAGACTAAGGTACTTTATTCTGGAGCTTTGTTAGCTGAACTGGGGGTCATGACTTTCAATTTCAACTTTTGATCGGCTGTCCTTAAGTCTTCTTTGCCAAACACAGGGTATATGCAGAAATCCTGAGGTCAAATTTAATACCTTTTTAAGACCTTTTTTAAGACCCTTTCCATACATTGTAAGACCTCATCGCAACTTTGAGTTCTAACCGGTTACATTGGCAACACACTTTACCTCACATTTACTATATTGATTGTAAGATAGCACAACTAAACAGAGTGCAGACAGACTACTGAAGCCTCCTCTCCACATGAACTTCAACCTCTCTGTGAAGGTCAGGTTTAATGCAGTATGCTGCTTTGTTGCTTCTGTACTCTGTGCTCTTTCATTCCAGTAAAACTCCTCAGAAACCAGTATTTGACCAATAAACAAAACAATTGACAAAACTTTGAACTATGAAATATATTAAACTTTGGTGAGCTTCAGCGGGGTAATGCCATATAGGAGCTCCCTCACAAATACCCAGGGGTTAAATTGGGGTGGGGCTGTCCGGGGCTAAGCCCTGGCACATAGGACGATGCTCTGACGTCATCACCCTCACACATTTGTCATATGTTTACAAAAAAGGATATATATGTTAAGACTTTTCTCGTTCTTAATATAGACTATATTAGGGTCGATATGTGTTGACTTTACTTTAAAATAGCAGATCTCTGTGACCGGATATAGTTTGGCTTAGACCCCGGCCCCTCGAGGACACATACGGTAAAACGAATACGCAAACGCAAAAAAGTCTTCCGTTCACACACATTCGATTCATTAATGTGTCCGTTCACACTAGACCGCTGGAAATGCTGGAAACGATGTAGTACATATGCCAGGCCTGTAAGTGGCGCTGCTGCCACCACAAAATACACCAAAAGCAGCGAAGAAGACCCCGGAGCATGGTTGCCATGGTTGCCCTTCTGTTTATTCTCCGCGGTGGACGGCGTGTTCTCCTGCTGTATATCTCTCAGGTAGTCCACCAGCAGATGAAAAACACCCACCTCTCCGCCTCTTCCAAGGGACGAGGGAACCGTGCGGCAGAGTTTCCGTTAAAAAAAATATTCCGCCGGTCAACATGTCCGTTAAAGTTTAAATCTTCTGTACAAAATTAGAAAAGTGCCGATCAGAGGTCTTCTTTGTTAATTATTGAGTTTTAAAACAAATTGATAACGACTCTGTTCTCTGTATAATAATATAATAATATTTAATAAACGGTGCCTGCCTCTCTTTCCTCCCCCTCTTCTGACAGCCCAGCAGCAGCAGGAGACGTGGGGAGAGGGAGGCGGGCTATTTCATCGTTATCAGAAAATGATCATATAGGGCTTACACACGGAGCAGTTGGACCCCCAGAGCGTTGCGTATGCCGGTCTACCCACCTTGGGACCCGTTACCGTAGTCGTTTAGTTCCCCCCCCCCCACAGAGCGGAGCAAGGCAACGAAACTTAAAATAATAAGCAGCATTTTACGGGCGCGCAAATTCAATCTAAGCCGTCCCGAAATTAATGTGGACCGTCCCAGTTCGTCGTATATATAATAGGTTTCATGTTTGGTCGTTGCTGGGGTTCTTCTTTTTTGTTTTCTTGTGTTTTTGAAAATGCCATTTAATACTTTGTGTAGTGTGCCCTTAATTGTGTCGGCTAAATTGTGATTGTATCAACTTATTAATACTTTTTAAGACCCTGCGACCATCCGTTATATTATTCATTGCCAGAGTACATGTGTTTTACATATGTTTTTATATATAGTATTTGTCATTTCCAAAAATAAGATAGTTGATAATTGCTATTTTGAGCAGAAAATGACACCCTTACCTAG